TTTTTCTTTTTGCTTATGTGGTGCTGAGGAATCGAACCCAGGGCCTCAGGCATGCAAGGCAAGCGCTCTACCACTGAGCCACCTTCCCAGCCCCAGGTGTTCTCTTTTTTTAAAGCATATTTTGATTATATTTTTGAATTGGCATGCATACATTGGTAATATGAGAGGGTTCCATGTGGTATTTTCACATATGCTCACTGTGTACTTTGAATAAATCCACCTCCTCTTCCATCTTCAAATTCCTCCTCTCAATCCTCCCCTTATTTCTTCCCCTTTTCAAGTACCATTTGGCAGATTTCACTCACTCTCTCTCTCTTTTTCTCTCTCCCTCTCTCTCTCTGTAATGTCATTTGGTCCTCTTTGCTACTCAGTATTCCTTACAGAAATATTTTCTCATCACTAATGAGAAAATAGGAGAAAAATTTAGGAATATACTATTAGCAAATTAATACAAGTAAAAGGGCAATGGTCTAAACTATAGGTCTCTGTGTGTTTAAGGAATTAGGATGATTATTGATTGCTTATTATAATCCACTGCCCAAATCACTCATTATTTCCTTTATTCTTTAATGGTATCAAGTAAAGAAAGTATTATTTTCATTTTAAAAAGGAAGAAATTAAAATTCAGAGATCACACCTATTTGGCCTAACACCACCCAGAATTAAGAAAACAAATATAAAGCCTGTGAATAACTGTAACCTTTGAACTCTACTTCCTTCTTAGCTTTACATTAAGCTGTGCCATTGTTGAGAGGCTGGCTTAAAGTACAATCACCTTTGCTACAGTTCATTGAGGACAACATTTGAGATTATAGTTCTTATGCTGTAGAAATATACTTAATTCTGCCAAATAAAATGCTAGTATAGTTGGGAGAGCATATATAAAGCCTTATAAAGGTCAGACTCAAGTTTCTACATACTGAACTGTGATCAGCACTCAATGGGAGAAATCTTCACGAACTTCACTAAAATACTCCTCACCATGGCCTGGCATCATGCTCTTGTGGGCCTGTCTGCAATAGGCCCAGAGAATTAATAGCCACAAACTTGAAAGACAGGTGTCATATATTACATGGAAAACAGGAAGTTGATCCAATTGAATGGTGTCATAATTTAAAATATTGTTTTGATTGTAAATGTACTGCTTCAATACTCAGTTTTTTAAAAAAAAAGTCAGTTCTTACTGATTCAGGACAGGAATTGATTATAAAATATGCTCCTTTCAAAGTATCTGGAGAATAGAATATAGAAAAGAATATGGTTTTCTATTAAGAATATGGCCCTGAGGGTCTATGGGTCCTGCTTGTAAGGAATCAATCAACCACGTATAGAAAAAGTTTAAAAATGATCCCTATATAAACCATGTTCAGATCATTATTTTCTCTTCTGTTTCCTAAGCAGTAGAGTAAAACAACTATGTACAAAGCATTTATATTATAATAGGTTATTGTAAGTAATCTACACATAGCAAATGTCTGTAGGTTGCCCAGACTGCAGATTCTGTCAGTAGGTTCTCTGAGGAACTTGAGCATCAATGGAGTTTAGTACCTCTAAGGGTCCTGCAAAGACCTGGGGGGACAACTGGACATATGCAACTGTCTAAAGCAGAGATCAGTGGAAAATTTCAAAACAATATGATAATAGGCAGCTCTCAAAGGCATCTGTTTACATGCTCAATTAATGTAACGAAACTCATTTGTTTTGCACGATGTGAAAGTTTTGCAAAAAAACTTATGATTCAGATCAAATCATAACAGAGTAACAGAATGACTTCTCATTTCTACTAGTGCAGGTACTTTACAACCTGAGGCTCTGCTGTCTGGAGAGGCAGCCACGGGAAACCACAGTGGCTTCTGTGGTCTTACTTCTCTCCCATATGGAACAACAAACAGAACCATGACATAGACATTTCAGAACAGAATGAGGTACTCATGAATTTCTAATATTTTATTACAACAGATATAAAACAAATAAAAGTCCCTTACCAGGAAGTTCCAGTTGGCATTGATTTGAGTCACCATACCAGAGAGGAACATGGCCAGGAAGAGGAGGGAGAAGAAAAAGGCTGTCACAGAGACAAACATGACCCATCCTTGTAGCAAAGGTAGAGGGACATTGGAGGAGGCAACCAAAATCCAGACAAGACCTCCAAACAACTGAAAGAAAAAAAACACAAAGAAAGGGGGTAATCAGCTTGTGTAAAATGGCCACCTTTGGTGCCTGGATCAATTTCAGTATTTCTTTTTCTACAGAGATTCCTGTCCACATTCTTAACCATTCTGTTAGATACCATTTCTCTAACATGATGCAAGATACCTTCTTCCCCAAAGGACTGAATCTGACCCTGGACCTGACCTTCCAGTGGGGTTCCCTTTCTCCAAGAGGATATCTGGCATTCAGTAATCACTTTCTTTAAAAAACCCAAACTTTTATTTATTTCTTATTATTGTTAAGTAGTTATACAGAGGAGTTTCAATTCAACATGTCAGTTTCTGAACACAATGCATCTTGAAGCAATCACTTTCTTATTTCTCATAGCCAATCATCATTTTCAGGTTTTTATCATGGCCTACTTGTACAACTCGGTACCATTTTGTACAGAATAAGTTGCACCTGTTGTTCATGACAGCAATGAAAGCTATCATTGCAACCTACGATGTACTGGACATCAGATAGATAGATTGGATAGTTAACACCCAAAATTATAAGTTGAGCACTGTTCTAGGTGCTGGAAATGAAATGGTAATCAAGCAAGCTGCGCTTGGTCACTGCCATCTCAGAACTCAGTTTATTACAGGAAGGGGACAACTGAGAACATGATTAAACAAATGGTGTTTCATAAATGTCACAACTGAGCAATTATTGTGCGCTGCAATTCCACGCAGTTATGTTTAGCATCTAGATACATTCAAGAAACAATAATACCAAGGACAGGGCAGGCGTGAAACAGACGAAGGTGAGAATGATCCAGGGTCAGATCTCAAAGTCTAACCCAGGTGAGGACCACAGATCGGCAGTTGTGAACAACTTGTGCCAAGTGCCAGCAGTGAGAGAGCTGGCTAGGGACTGAGCTGAAGCAGCATGCAGATGAATTTCTGCTGAGAGACTAGGAGGTCATGATTGACTTCAGCAGGAAGTAGGGTGTCAGGCTTACATTTCCCAGTGTTTTGGGCAGGATTGTGAGAATGGACTTGAGAAGAAAGTATACCGAACTGGAGATGACACCAGAGACTGATTACAACGATGTGTATTTATTAGCACTAGGTTGCTGCGAACACAGAGCAGTGGATGGATTTCTGGCGTGGGTAACTTTTTCAGCACTGGGTTTGAATTGAAGGCCTTGAGCTTGCTTGGCTAGGACTCTGCCTCTTGAGTTGTGCTTCTGGTCCTGCTTTTTGCTAGTCATTTTGGAGCTGGAGTCTAGTAGATTCTTCTTCTTGGACTATCTTCAAACCATGATCTTCTATATCTCAGATACATGAGTAGCTAGGATTATAGGTGGAAGTCTCAGCACCCAGAAATTGGGCAACTAGTTATAAGTAGGAGAATACCGAAAGAGAAATAGGGGATAAAGAAAATGGGTTTTCCACTCAAAAAGAAATGTACTTAATTATATAACTGTAACCCTGCTGTACATCATCCTTACAATAAAACAAAAAGAAAATCTATGAATTATGTTGGTTTCCTCTAGGCAACTATAAAAGCAATGCAAAATATGCATCCTTTGCAGGGCATTAAAGGCCTTCAGTTATTCAGTTATTTGTCTTATGTTATGAAGTCCATCACAATTTGTATTATAAAGGAAAAAAATCTACAGCTCAAACATAAAGCTGTTTCACAACTATGTGATCTGCTATTTGCTGTTCCAGAATGCCATTCTTCCTGTGTGTATTTGAGAAGCTCCCACTCATATTTATTCTTGAGCCCATCACCTAAAATAATCTTTCCTGCATGTCGCCTCATGCTCAGGTACCCCTCCTTTCCCCAGCCCCTCTCCCTATTAGGGATTGCTCACACTGATGGGTAAGACATACAGTAATCAAATCTCCCCAGCTTCCATTCAATCTGTACCAATAGACCTTCTTGGCAGCACACTAATTTTTGTTTCCACATCCCAAACCATTTATTAATTGTCAAGTACTCTGCTAGAGTTGGTAACACCAAAACCTCAGCTCTATACTGGCTCTGAAGATGCTTCAGGTAGGCTGGAATATCTCCATCCCCCCCTTTCTCTCTCTGTTTTTCTCTCTCTCCCTCCTTTTTATCTCTCTTCCTCCCCCCTCTCTCTCTCATACACATCCAGCACTATCAAATACATGTTTAGCGAAAATTAGTGTTCACATAACAGTTTGAGCTTATTAAGTATCTATATACTTAATAAAAATCACAAAAATCACTGGAAGCCAAAAATACAAGTTTTAATTAAAGATTTTTTTTTTTTACAAAAAGGCTCAGTCATATAAGTTGCTACTACTTTGTAGAAACATTTTCAGACATAATAAATCATTGCTTGACTGGTAATGTAATGATAATTAAAACATCAGTTTAACAAATTTATAGTTGTAGAAATATCTCAATTTCAACTTTCAAATGAAAAATTAATAATCAACCCAGAAAGTTTTAGAAAATAACTCTGAAGTAATGAATATTAATGCATATTAAAATTTAAAATTATCACTATCAGATATTATTAAAGAAATAAACTTGCTCCTGTTGATAGACTGCATAATTTTTATGCCACTTGATGAATATTTTATGGTAATTACAATGTCATTAATGGATCAGTCTAGGACTGGAGGTAGAAACTTTGAGTAACATATGTAAGGTCCTAAGTTCAATTCTTAACACCACAAAAAGATGCTGTTGTTTTTAACTCTGCCACTACTGATGTACACTGCATTAAATATAGTTTAGGAAATGTTCGTCATTATTTGATATCAAGAACCATTTACTGGGAGCCTATGTGCAAGTCCAACAGGTTATAAAGAATAACTGGGCATGGTTTATCAGGCCAATTAAATAGATAAACACAAATAATTCTCTGGAATGAAACAGCATTTAATAAACCTAGATTATAAATAAAACAGACCAGCCTCAAATCTACTTGGGATTGAAGAAGAACTTTTAGGAAAAAGACAAGAAGGTGCAAAACACCAGAATCAAATGCAGTGAAAACAGGGGAGGGAAAGGGATCTAATGGAATACTTAAATGGGGATGCAGGTTGACCCATTGTGACGATGAGATGTACAAGGCATTGTGTTGAAAATGAACTTTACAATGTAGGGAGGAGAGGGAGGAGGTGGGGAGGGAAGGGAGATAGGGGGAAAACAAAGGAGGAGTTAACAATGCTCCATAGGAAATGTACTCAATACCTTACTCATGTAACTGTAACCCCTCTGTACAGTGTTTTTTTTTTTTTACTATATATCTATATCTATATCGTGTGTGTGTGTGTGTGTGTGTGTGTGTGTGTGTGTGACTCAGCACAGGGTACTCTGCAAGCTTGGGAGCAGAGAGGAGAAATGTAAAGCTGGGAGTGGGGTAGGGCAGGGAGGCAGGAAGGCTGGTGTAAAGTCAGCTTTCAGTACAGACCCATGTTTGGCCAGAGGAGCTTACAACGTACAACAGTCTGGATGAAGTGAAGTGTTCAGTCATACAACTATACCCCTTCCCACACCTCAAAGGCTTGGAAAGGAACTCAGCGCTTACACAAAAACCAATCAAACTCACCTCCTCATTTGTGACAAGGGAAAGAGGAGAGAATGTGTAAACGGCCTTCCCTCTCCATTAAACCAGGGTCCAGTCCTGTCAGAGACTAGCTTTGGATGACAGAAGATGAGCAGAGAAAAGAACGAAACCCATGTTGGAAAGCCATCTTCCTCATTCAAAAACATCACACTAGCTTTCTGAAACAATTATTTCTTTCCTATTCCACAATTTCCTTTTGACAAAGGCTACTTTTCCTCCCAACTTTCCTAACTTGGCTCAAGATTAAAAACTGAGTTTAGGAGAGAAGCAAATACACAGAACATTGATTATGGGTGTGTATAATCAATGTATACATACATAGGTGAATAATATTACACATGTTTATTTATATATAATCAATGTTCTGTGTATTTGCTTCTCTCCAAGCTTTGGAAAGCTTAGATATTTACCAGCCATAGCTATCAGACACCTGTTTAGTATAAGTGACTCTGGAGGGAGTCCTGTTTTAGAGGTGAAAACAGAGATTCAAACTGATTAAAACCGAAGGGAGAACAGTTGATAAAGTGTCATAGCAACAGCAGAGTGCACACACCACAAAGAAAGGCACTCAGAATGCCATTCTTCACCCACATTGCGTCGTCTTGGATCTGAATCCACACTGACTGCTGTCTACCTCTCCTTACATCACTCCCCAGTGTTCTGAAGAGTCTGATAATTATGTACCAAACAGCCAACTACACTTCAATTTGGAATGTCCCATAGGACCTAAGTCAGGGATCAGAACTGCACACCTCCAAATGTGATTTTCCTTCCAAGTAAGGCAAAGGGAAAACCCTCCTAGAAGTAGATACAGGCTTCCTCTGGGATTGTTTTTTCCTTTTCTTCTTGGCCCAACATTAGATAGACGTAGCACATACATCACAGGTACTCAAATATGCATGTTCTGAACTGCAGCTACTAAACTGATACCCATTCCCAAAAGGAGTCTTTTTTTTTAAGTTTAATATATACTTGTCACTTTAGTTTGGCTTCTGTAGATCAGGAAGGAATGCTTTTCCGTATCTCTTCCATGAGAAGACCAGGGGAAGTATTCTTCCACAAATCTCAGCAAGTTGGTGGTGAAGATACATCTATGCCTTCTCCCCACCCCCCTGGAAAATATGCCACTGGGGAGCAAGTAAGGCTTGATATTCAGACTGGACTCTGCCATAGATATCTCAGTTTGTCTCCTACATGAATGGCCTGCTTCGTCTCTCCAGGTATTCCTTTCACAAATACCCCTTTTGCTTTTCAACTGCCACCTATTTCCCAAAGGCCTGCTATTAAACGTATACCCTGACTTCCTAGCTAATACTCTGCAAACCAATGTAACACCTCTGTCTTTTGTATACATACATTATAAAACTGAGTAAACATGTTAATCCCTACTCAGATTTTTTTTCAGTT